AGCGGTTGGAGCACAGCTTACACGGTCCAGACTGTGCTGCTGCAGCTGGCATCCCTGCTTGTCGTCTTATCAAGCTTTCGCTTAAACCTAAACCCGGGGACGAGTGTGGACATAAGGCTCGTCGCGAGAACATACGAGAGCACCTCGGAGTTAAGATTTTGTGTGCGCTGTAAGCAAGAAGAGTTCAGGCATCCTTCCTCTTCGAGACCGACCACGTGCCGCAGGACCACGGTGGCCCCAAGAAGTCCCAAATGACCCCGAAGCTGGCAGCAAAGCTTCGGGCCGAGTGCGAGAAGTTCCGGTGCCCCTGCGGACATTGCTACTCCGCTCCGCTGCCCGAGATGATCCCCCCGCCCCCGGTCCTCCCTCCGAGCCCTGCTCCCAGCCTTCCCTGCGTCTGCGTGCCCTCTCCCCCTCCGGCGGCGTCTCCCCAGATTTTTCAGCAAAGCCAGGGCGGCCAGGGCGCTAGGGATCTGCCGAGTCCTTGCTGTGGGGACCTGGTGCAAGGCCGCGTGGTGCAAGAGGGCCCCCAAGGCTTCGTCCTGGAGCTGCTGGGTGCCTGTTAAGGAACTGAAGAAGAGGTAGTAACTCGTGTGCTTTCCTTTCTGTGGGAGTCTAGACTAAGACTAAGATATGTAATTACGAAATTCTTGATCATGGTAAGGTAAGTAAAGGTTTCTTGGCAAGAGCCCAGGCTGCCCTTCCAACAACGTCAGGGTTGGCTGGCCCGCGATCGCCGCTGCGCCCTAGCAATGCAGCAGGACGGCCTGCCTGGGGCCGCCTGGGGTTTCTGATTCTTTGAGTCCTTATACTAAGGATCCTAGTGCTTAGAGCATTTTGAAGGTTAGGACGGTTAGAGATATCTTACCGTAGTTGCGTGCTAGCTTCTCCTGCAAACCAACCCAAGAAGACTGACAAACTTCCTGAGGCCCTAAATTCCCAAACCCTGAACAGCAGGAAGTCTCGGCCGTCGTGACCTGGGTGCAGCCGAAGTGGCTTTACCTGCAGCTGGTCCCTCGTCGCTCCCAGCAGGAACTCGAAAAGCTCCAAGAGCTTCAAAGGGAAGTGCCCGGGCTGATTCTCTCCGTGAAAAGCTACTGGGTTCTCGTTCAGGAACTCAGTTTAAGTTCCGTTAGGGCTTTGAGAGCAAAAAACGCCTTCCTTACTGCGGTATGACTGTCAGCCGTTAAGTGCCCAGGCTACGGCCTCTTCGTGGACATCGGCGCCCGGGCCCCTGGCCTCGTCCACGTCTCGGAGCTGGACGGAGAGCTTCAGAGCTTCGAAACAAAGACACCTTTGTTGGTACGAACCCTGAGTTCTTGTTCAGGAGTTTATTCTTTTCCATTGAAAAATAATATGGTTTCCTTACTCCATAGTATAAATTCTGGTTTCCCTATCATAGGAGCTCAAAGAAGAGCCCAGGAATCCTGGAGCTGAATTCTCCCAAAGGCCTCCGGCTCACGGCCCGGGGGGGCCCCTTCAAAGCCCCCCCTTCGGGCTCAGAAACCCGGCTCCACCTGCTGCAGCCGGCCTTGTGCGTGGACCTCCCGGGCCCCGCGGCTGAGGCCCTCCTTCAGTTCCTGGGCTCTTACTTGGCTTCGTCCCCAGAAGGGGCATAGACAGATCTATGTATACGTAAAAACACACCTGCATGTACATGTATAAAGATGGATAGTAGGAGTCGCAGGGTGCTTCAACATGAAATCTTAAGTTAAGGCCCTTGACTTCAACAAGATCTCAGGTTCTTGCCCCTCGAGGCTTCAACCCTAAACCCTAAACCCCTAAACCCTAAACCCTTGACTTCAACCCTAAACCCTAAACCCCTGACTTCCACAAGAGCTCAGGTTCTTGCCCCTGGAGGCCTTGAGGTCCCTTTCTCGTTCTGGGCGAGCGTGGAGGGGCCCGGCGGAGGAGGCGGATGATCACAAGTTTAGGGTTTAGGGTTTAGGGTTTAGGGTTTAGGGTTCAAATTAGAACAGGGCCTTAAAAAACGGGTTCCTTAAAGGGGTTCTATAAGAGCTACTAGAAGGGTTGAGGGTATAACGTCCTAAACACTTACCAATGCTATTTTGGGGGCTCCTTATTATAATTATAGTATAATGTACCCCAAAACCCTATTCTAATTATTAAGGCCTTGTATTATGACTGTTCATTGCTCTTCGTAGTACTGTTGTCATGAACCACGATAGTCATGATGACGATAACGATCATGGCCGGGGTAATAATGACAGCAATTTCATGAAAGAAAAAATTCACGGGTTCAAAACCTTCACTGCTCTCGCCGCTCTTTTTTCATTGCCAACCTCGAAGGAGTACTATCGCAAAATCCGCACAGAAGCCTTGAACAACATGGCCTAAAACCTCCCCAAAAATTCGGTCTCCGAGGCCGCCTCATCCTTCCTTCGCACGGAGCTGCGCTGCTTCCATACCAAGGCCTCTTTCGAGGAGGGGATTCTGGGCTTGGGCGTGGCCATCACCGAGGAGGCGCGCGGTCTTTCGATTAAATAGAGAGACCTGCCAGGGCTCCAGAAGAGGGTTTGTACTTGGAGGATCATGGGACTTAGTAACTAGGGTCATAAATAAGGTAACTATAATTATAACCCCAATTAGGGTACTTATAGCCTTACTTGCTAAGTCCCATGATCCTCCAAGTAGGGTTCCAGAGCACCATGAAGCCGCAACTTGGAGCCCTGCCCCTGAGGAGAGGACGGGAAAGCGGCACCTAACTTGCGACTTCGATCCGCTCTCCGAGGAGGCGTTCTTCAAGCTGCAGGCGGGAGGTGACCCAGAGGGCCCAATACCCCTTAAATAAGGAATATACCTTAAATGATAGGGGCCTTAATATTATGATTTGAAGTATATTCCTAAACCCTAAACCCTAAACCCTTATAGATCCCTGAGGGGCCTTAATATTATGATTTAAGGTATGTTCCTTATTTAAGGGGTATTGGGCTCTCTGGGGAGCTTCGGTTTAGGGCGGCCGTCTGAAGCGGAAGCCACAGATCCCAAAATAACGGTTTAGGGTTTAGGGTTTAGGGTTTAGGGTTTAGAGAAACGCTCCATCGGAAAGGATTGAACTCATAGGGAAGGCTTCACCACAGAGCCTAAGCTATAGACAAAAGTCAGCCTGTGGTTTCTGTTTTCGTTTTCTCCCTTGTGTAAAGAGAGGTGGGCCAGGGAGTCTGGAAGCAGACGATCAGCTGCTCAGTTCTTGTTAAGTAGGGTATATAGTAGGTATATTAGGGTCCCAGGGTTAAGGGCCCATACTAGGGGCCCATGGGTTCTACCTTAGAAAGCAGTTGCACTTCGGTTCAGATAATAGGAATATCATATAGTACACACAAAGAAAAACCCCTCAACCCCATAAGAACCCTTGAACACCCTAGACAACCCTTCTATACGCTTGTAAGTAACACCCCTCGAAAACCCTACCCCAGCCGTTGTATAAACCCTTTAAGAGCCTTTAAAGACTATGTAAACGCCTTGACCGGCTAAAGCCCTCTACGCCAAAAGCCCAGGCTATTGGATCCCCATGGCCATCTGCAGGGAGCACTTTGAGCAGGGACTCGACAGGCTTCTCGAGGCTCTTGCGAGACGAACAGACTGAGGGTTTAGTGTTTAGGGTTTAGAGCGATAATCGCCGTAGGCTGTGTACTGCACATTGTGTATGCTATCCTTTATACACATACCCTATATGTCCTGTGCATTACGAAATGTCTGTTATATATTACACACTACATGTTCTATACTCTGTACTGTGTGCTTTGTCTATATATGTACTACATGTTGTATACTATGTCGTGTGTACCTTGGAGTGTTTGCTATACGCGATATACCGTATGTTTTTGGCTGCAAGCCTTTTTACCGCATGAACTATACTATTGAATACGTGCTGCATACTATATACCATATGCCGCATGCTGTATTGCTGTATGCTACTTGCTGTGTGCCATACACTATCACTGTGTTAGAAATACTTTTCTTGCTGTATGGGGCGACATTAAAAACCATTAACAATGTTAACGATATCATATGACATGGCATGACATGATATGATATAGTACATCGTACTACATTAGGCAGTGCGATTACAGCATCGTACAACATTCTATGTTATGCCATATCGTTCACGATATCTTACCTTGTGCCATGTCACGGCATGCTAGATTATACTTTACTAAACTTTGCTATACCATATTCTACTATACCAACACTAATGCTGATACGAGTATCATCACGAATGCAGATATTTGTGCGAATATGATTATGAATCCTAGTACAAAAACCAGCACCCGTGCTTGTACTTGTTCCACTGAGATTAAACAACACTTGCCCTACCCCTGCTCCCACTCCTATTCCTACTACTACTACAACAACTACTACTACTACTACTACTACTACTACTACTATTACTACTACTACTACTACTAATAGTTATACGAATAATTAGCGATGATAAAAGTAGTACGACTCGTACGCGACGACGACGACAATGACGACGACTACCACTACCACTGCTACTGCTACTAGTACTAGTACTAGTACTAGTACTAGTACTACTACTACTACTACTACTACTACTACTACTACTACTGCTAATGCTACTGCTACTGCTACTGCTACTACTACTACTACTACTACTACCACCACCACTACCACTTTGAAACACAATGAGACCCTTCGAGAACGCTGGTTCTCCATCCCTGAAGTGAAACCTGCACGGGGC